ATAATTTTGTGTGCGCGCGCATACAACACAAAATATTTAAAAAATATAAACAAAAAAAGAAGAAAAAAAAAATATATATATATATATATATATATGCACGATATTTCATTCAGCTATATCTACATTTCTGCATTTTCGCTAATTTTGCGCATTAGTTCCGGTGATTTATCTGCATATCAATCGGTTAATTGGATCCTCTCGACATAATAAATTCTGATGTTTTGAATTATTTTTCTACATGATCGATAAAAAAAATTCTACACATATGTTTTCTACATATTTCAAAACGAAGTTGCGATTGATTTAGAGCAATAGTATGACGTACCAACGATGTAGACACTTGTGGCTGACGAAGCATTTTAGCGCTGCGTCCGTGACAATTAACGTAGAGATAAGTCGACTGCAATATCCACATCCTGCTGGCCGAAATATATTATGCTACGAAAAGCGATATAGCGGGGAGTACTACATAATAGTTGGTGTAATCTTGGATATCTAGCCTGTCAGTGGTCACAATATATGACTCCTTTTCATAATTATCAATGTATATGAGCCGTATTCATATATGTACGTCTTACCTATTTTCCCCTATTTCTCTCCCGTTTCTCAGTGATTCGCAACAGTGCATCATCGTCATCAAACGCGACATGATAAAATACACAATTATATATATTTTTGTTATTTTCGAAATCTAGTGATGTTAATGTTATATGCTCTTTTTTTCATATTAAACATTTATTCAAATAGTCATACAATATTCTTGTTTCGTAAGATTTTTATTTTTTTAAATCATAATATTTTAATTGTTTCTTCTCTGAATTTTATTTTAATAAATAAGTTTCATAGGTACATTCGCATCATATATTGATACGTGTCATTCAAATATGAAAAAGAACTTTTAATGAATAGTATATAGATAAAAAGAAAATAGTATATAGATAAAAATATTAGATGTATAATTATATTGTATTTATAATATGTCTTTATGTCCTAAATCATGGTGATAAGTATAATAATAGATAAGTATATAATTCATTTTTTTTCAGATAATGATCAATAGATTTTTATGATTTTATGAGTAAGGAAGATCTATTATAACAACCTATCCTATTATATATATTATATATTTTATTATATAATAGAATTATTATTATATTATTATCCTATTATAATATTATTATATACTATTATCTAGAATATTAATAAACATCTTAAACTCATATATTGATAGAATGATATGTGAATGTGAATGTGTGTGATTGCGTATTATTACATACATACATAAATGAATACGTATACACTTTATTTCCAAATCATGTGGTATAATGTATTTCAATTTAAAATTTTTCAAATCGAACTTTTCGTAAAACTTTCCAACTAATATATGTATGTAAATATACGTAGGTGAAAAAGAAATATTTGTTGGCATAGAAAGTGAAACGAATTCTGAATGAATAAAAATGATGAATAGTATTTGATGATTAAATGTTCGAATGTGAATGGTAATGGAAAAGTAGGTCCGAAAACATTTAAAAACTGTTTAACGATTAAAAAATACTAATTTAATAATTTATTAAAAAATAATAATTTATTAAAAAAATTTTTTTGTTGTGTTACAAAATTTCATGTCATCTTTAGATTCGTGTGTAGATCGTACATGCCGATCGATGATTCTGGTAGACAAATCCTAAAAGACAATTTAATCTTCGAAATTATATATATATATATATATTTCATCGTTCAATAAATATGAACTACGAGTGTAAATACGAATATAAATAGCAATAAACAATAACGATAATTAATTGTTCAAAGATTTATCACTGTCGCAATTTCGATTATTCAATAGAATAGACATAACACAATTTATATGAAAATTATATGTAAATATTGTGGTTTGTCAATGATTGAAATGAAATAATTGATCGAATAATAAAAAATAAGCGAAAAGACAAATAAAAGATATTGAATCTAAATATGAATAACTCATATTGTTTTGCGGAATTCGATTTTTATACAATAAAATTATTTTAATAAGAAAATAATATAAATATAAAAACATATAACTTTTTTTTAATGACTGATATTTTTGGATGATACAATATTAAATACTCAATAAAACACCAATGAAACATGTAAAAGGTAAAAGATATACATGTGAAATGTTGATATAACGAAGAATATCTAACATCGCGATCGCGGTCGCGGTCGCGGTCGTGATCGCGTTCGCATTCGTGTTCGTAGACGCAATCGCAGTTATATACTATGTATCGCATAATATGTATACTATGTGTTCGAGTATAGTTTGGTTCGCGATTAACTTCCGACATATGATACACCCGGTAATCTCCGCCGACATCGATACATAGTCTTTCTTAAATATAGAACGAAAAATTTTCTGTACGAATGAAAGGTCGCGCACAATGAATAAAAAAGCAATAAAAACAGACCAATAATGACTAATTAAATTTTAAGAAAATCTTAAAGAAACATACTTGAAAAAATAGAAATTAAAAAGAGAATAGAAAACTAAAAATATTAAATAATAAAAATAGAATTGAAAAAAACTAAAAATTTAATGTGCATTTATTATAAAATTTGTAGAATTTTATATTTATTCAAGTAAAAAGAGAAAATAAAGAAAATTATACAAAAAGTAGAAAAGTAATGATAATAAAAAATAAAAAATTTAAAAAATAAATTATCGTTATTAATTCATATATATATATATATATAGATCAAAATATAATTAAAATACTTTGTATGTAACAATAAAATACAATGATGATTGAAAATGAAAGAGAAAACGATTAAAAACGATTAAATTGAAAATAAATAAAATTATAATAATATGAAATCTATATATATATGAAAAAAGGAATATATAGAGAGCGATGAATGATAAAAGAAATATATAATGAAAAGTTGCAATGGTAACGATATAGTAATGACGATAGTAATCGAGGCGCCAGCTTCAATACCGGCCCCGGCGTCGATGGCGGTAGCGGCACGTACAGTGGAACTTTCCAGAAGCTCGAGAGGGGAGAAAGAGCAAGACGATGAGAGTACTGAATTGTGGAAACAGATATGAGAAAAAGAGAGAAAGAATATGCCGAAAAAGAACGAGAGGACACGAACGGCTAACATGGTTAGGTGAAAAGGAGTCGGCGGAGAACGATTGGTTCGTCGATTACGAACGGTCGAATGCGCATTATATACGTGAGAGATAGCATACGTGTCTTACCTTCGTTCTTGAAAGAGGTACTAGGCACAGAGGCCATTTCTGCATCTGTCTCCTTTCGGAATTGGACATTTTGTCGTCACGCCTCAAAATGTTCGTGTTGTGTCAGTGCTGCGTGTTGTCGCCTGGTTGAACTGGATCGCGTCACGTGAATCTTCACATTCAACTTGCAACCAAATTCTCGAAACTTTATCGATTTTCTTCTTTTTTACCCGTTGCTATCTCTTTTTCTGGGTTGATGCTTTGCAACTTCTCTTGTCGTGCAAACTATTATATTCCTTTCTGTGAAATTTCTCGTGACTTGCAATCTTGTTTATAGTGTCCTTAATATCACGAGTCAATTGTATTTGCTATGCGCAATAAATAATATTTCATTTGATACAACTTTGATGAAGATATAGTTTTCGATAATGAAGATTTTGAAAATAACCACGCAATCTATTTTTCAAATAAATGAAACGCGCGTGTAAAAGCTATTTTTTTCCGCTTTCTTTTCCCACGTGTACACAAACCACCCTTACAAGACTACGCAAGGAATGGTTAAAGTCTAAATGATGCCGCGTGGACGGTTCAACGTATTTCTTAGTTAGCTCGAGCTCGAACTACCACCACTGCTAAGCGGTACCAGCGACACCACAGCTACCCTCCTGCTCTCTAGTGTTGCTGTTGTTCGTACAGTACCGTGCCGTGTCGTACCGTGTTATCCGTTGTTTCCCTGTTGTTTGCTTTGTATGTTTCTTACGTTCCTGATTCGCCGCGCTATTCCTGCTACATTTACCGCGCTTGTGGCATGCGTCTATATGCGACTTCTCACATTTACAATTTCGATTTTTTTTAAATTTTCTGATCTATTACCACTCCAGTTTATCAGTTATCTTTAGATGATTCTTCATTTATCGCTAATTATTGGTACCAATTTGATTTTCTATGTTAATATGTTTTTTCTTCGATTTAAACACGTGAAAATATAGTTTACATCTGTTTTATAAATTTTTTATTATTTTTTTCGTTTATCCGTAAACTTAAATCGTGTAAAATATGAGTAAAATGCACTTTTACGTGTGTTTGAAACTTTGCTAATCAGATCGGGGGGTTTGTCTCTTTTATATAGAGACCGGTGTGGTCGTAAGCGCCGCCTCTTCTATTGGGGCGCGTGTAACTGGTGGGGGACGCGCGGTGACCCGGCACTTCCTCTCACCCTTCTTTCTCTCAGTTGCTTCGTCTCTTGCCTCTCACCTATCTGTCCATGTTTCGTCTCGTCGCGCTTTATCCTGCTTCGTTTCACCTCACCTCACCTCTCTTTACCATATCTCGCCAGGCGTAACTGCTATTCGTCCTATCTTTCTTCGCCATAAGTCGCATCTCGTTTCGCTTCGACCAACTTTATCCTCTCTTTCTTTTTCTTTTTCGCTTTTTCTTTTTTCTATCCAGACGCGTCAACGCGATGTAGTCACACATCGTTTCGCGGCTTCTCATATGAATTTGACGCAGATTGAAAATGCGACATATATCCAGAATAATTTGTTTTTTTTGCATTTATACAATCTATCATATCAATATACCTGGTTTAACAATTTCACTCATTTTTTAAAAACTAATCAATATTGCATTCATTTTTTATTTCAATTTTCATTTTTTCTTCATTGTAACTGTCGTGAAAGTCGAACTTATTTATTCATTTTAATTATAATTTATTGCAATTATCAAACAAGATCGCTTAGAAAAAATATGTATATATTTTACATATTTAGACTTATTTCTCTTAATGAAAAAAAATAAAAAATAGAAAAAAATAAAATTAATATATTAGATTTCTAATTTCCAAATATTATATCAATATCTTATGAACTTTTCACAGAATTTTCCAGTCATTCGACCTCGTTCAGTTGCAATAGTATAGAGATGCCCTCGATTTTGTTCATTTGTACACATAAATATATGTGTGTTTCTCTTCCTGTTTCTTATTTTTATATTTATATTATTTATAATTTCTTGTTTCTTATTTATATTTTGGAAAAAAAATAGTAATTGAAATTGTATTTATAATTTAGATTATTTAAACAATATCTGGGAATAATAGATAATATTTTAAAATTTTTTATTATAAAATTATGTATAAATTATAATAATGTTGAAAAAAAGATATAAAGAATGTCTCCAAAATCATGATACAAATTATGTAGTGTTTTTGCATATAAAAATAAATCGAAAAAAAGAATTAATTTTTTTGTTTAAAGTTCGGTTTTCAAATAAATCAAGTTTGAAAAACTTTCAAGTATAAGCGAAATTAGCTATTTTCTGATTAGATACGAGTAAACTATCGATAGGAGGTAATTCTACATATAAAAATAAGTATAATATATAAAAAATAAAATAAATTTTTTCGTTTAAAAATTAGTTTTTAATGAGAATTGAAAATTCATTGATTATACAACTCTTTAATTGTAAATATTCAATTTCGATTTTTTTGAAAAATAAAGATATAAGCCATAAAATTTTATTTTATATTTTTTGCTTATTTCCATATGTAGACTAGATCACTTATCAATAGTTTATTTATATTCAATCGAGCCAATTTCATTTATATTTAAAATTTTTTCAAACTTAATTTTTGATATTTGAAAATGAAACTTTAAACAAAAAAAATTTTTATTTTTTTTTTTTATTTATTTTTATACAGAATCATTTTGAACCCTTATATTATGTTTTCGGAAACATTCTATATAAATCATATTAATTTTTTTTGCAAAATATATTTATTGTTTTTTAACTTCTTTCTTTAAATTTCTTTTTCTACTTTTATTATATATTAATTTAATATGCATATAGGAGAATAAAAAAATATTTGTATTTTTATATTAAAATTCATCGCTTTAATAATTGCTTAACGAAAATAAAAGATAACTTTTATATTTTATAAAAAATGTAAAAGATCTTAAAAATACCATTATATTCATAATTGAATTTTTATCTTTATCAAATTCATAATTGAAGATTTTGTATAATCGAAATCGTGTTTTTTTTTTAATATTTTATATTTATATATAAAATGCTTTTTAAAATTTAATGTAAATATAAATTTTTTAAGACTTTTTTTTGTATATACATATTTATAAAAATATTTATTTTAATCTTAATAATATATGTATATATTTATTAATTATTGTATTAGTAAATTAATATATAATATTGAATTATAAATAGAATCTATCGTGAGTCATTTAAAATATTGAAATATATCAATTTCTCTTAAAAATTAAAAAATTTCTCTTAATATTATTATGTGATTTGCAAAATGTAGAGGATGAAGATAAATAGAGTTAAATAGAAATTGAAAAGCATAATAATTGAGATTTTAAAACTAAATTCAAAAATAAAATGATAGCTATATTACAAATTTTATCTCAGGCGAAGATCAATTTCTTTCTCTTCTTTTCGTTTCTTTGATGATCAGATTTCTTCAACAATTGTCGTGCATGGTTATATCACGGAATACGGTCAACTCATTGATCGATAGAGGTTAATCGATAAAGCGAATTGTTAGTATTGTATCGAAGGAAAAATACCTGGTAACTGTAATGATCGATAAAAATTTACGAATGTAACACTGACAGAATTAAAACTGATTGAAAAAAAAATAAATTAATATATTATCGAATATTTTTCGTTTTTATATAAATGTAATAAATGTTTTTATATAAATGTAATAATATTTAATAACTTTTTTCATATTTGATTTGATAAAAAAAAAGATGAATGTACCGATTGATTGATTAGAATCGTATATTAATCAAAATATGTTATTATGATTTATGAAGCGAATGTATTTTATATTGAATTGTATAATTTTTCTTATGAACGTATAGAAAAAAAATGTGAACGGAAGGTGTGGCAATAAAAAAACAAACAAGTATTTCATGTGTATATATATATATATTTATATATATATGCATAATTATCAAAATTATATTTTGAACTTCGATTCGATGCAGAGCTTCTCAAAGTTTTTAAATGTAGATGTAAAGTATTCATGATTTTAATAGTGTGCAATTCAATAGCATACATTGTGAAAGAACATTATCACATATATGCCATTCAATCGTTCTTGTTGCTCGGTCGTCGTGCATCATTTGTCAGATTAAAGCACGTGACAAACATTCTGTAATTTTTTTTAAATTTATAATCATATATATATTATTTATTTTATAATCATTAATTTTTATATGATCGAAACTTCTTGAATTTTTTAATGTATAAGTATATATAATTAATAAGTTTCGTTCACTTTAATATTCCAAATAGTGTTCAATGAATTAAATAAATTAATTAAATGATTAATGCAACATGTAACATCGATCAATCTTTATTGCCTGTCAAATCTCACGAAGAGATGGATAGGACGCATTCTTCGAATGTTCGAGAAACTCGTTAGAAAATCGAAATGTTTGATGCAGTTAAACTAGTTCGATAACTATCGCAATCTCATCAGTATTAACGCATACGATTTTCGATTTTCCAAATTTAAAAGCAAAATAGTTATTACGAATAGCCTATTCAATATGTAAATTATTTTCTTGGATTGTAATTAAATACCATTAGCTATCCATATATTATTTGAAGTTTGAATCTATTTCTAATTTCGTTGCATCAATAAATTATGCTTTTTAGGGAAGTTATTATCGTTTAAGATCGATAGATTATCGATGTTCTGATTAATCGAGGAATGCAAAATTGGATTGTTGATTCGAAACAAATCAATTTATTTTATAGTAACTATAAAAAATATATTTATTAATTCATAACGAATTCATATTGATTTTGTAATTTCTAAAAATAAAAAGTAAATGTAAAACAAAAGAAAGGAATATTTCTGAAAAAGACGTATTATATGTTTCTCATCTTCTTGTTCGTTTAAAATTTAATTGGTCCAATGTTTTTTTGCTTTAAACTCGGGAGCACGGCTGATATATCCCCTGGTGTGGGTCAACGAGAAGCAATTCTCGTGAAGATCATCAAATATTGACCAACATTATTATTTTTTCAGAATTGTTGCATGCATCTTATCAAAACTATTTTATAATCTATTGTTAATTGTCAATATATCCTATTTTTTTAGTTTTTCTCGATATTATTTCGATTTTATTCATGATAAAAAAATTACATTTAAATGATAAAAATCTTTAATTTTTAATAACTTGCTTAATTTTTTTTTAATCTGCGCTTCTATTGATTTGCTAATTATTCCTAACAAACGTATCAAGCGCACCTGCATTAGATAAGACGATGGAATTTTACTGGATATGCTTCGTATACCCGAGACAGCAGAAGCCAACCGAGACGATATCGATGATACCAGTCAGTTAGTTGGTCGCTGGTGAATCGGCTTCTCATTCAAAAAATTCAATGTAATGACTCGATTGTTATCATTGTATTTCAATTTTATATTTATATTTATATTTAAAATTGATTATTAATCGAATTTTTCGATATTAAAAAATTGAAATATCTATGAAATATATTCACATTTTTTGACAAATTTCAAGCTTTTTCCATCACAAAAATATAAATATATATATATAATATGTACAAGTGAGCATGATTTTTATAAAAAAATAACAAAAAATTTAGAATAAAATTTTTTAATAGATTTAATTTTTAAAATAATTAAATTCAAAAATTTATTGCATGTATATAATAACTATTAAGATATAATAATTATTAATGATTTATTAAAGATCAATAATATCTATTGTGTTTTTGAATAATGTTTATAATATTTCCGAATTTTAATTCGAATATTAAATTCCAGAAAGATCAGAAAGATATTTTTACAAGCATAATAAATATTATATGATAGTTTGATCATATCTTAATCATAATTGCATACATAAGCAATAAATTTTCGAATTTAATTATTTTAAAAACAAAATTTTGGAAAAAAAAATTTATTTTATATTTTTTTCTTTATCTCATATCTATCTCAGAAAAAATGAAATCATTGTATATGTTATTTGGTTGCACTTTATACATTGCACAATAGGCATATTATATTTAATTAAAAGTTGATATTTAAATCGAGAAGATTTTGCCTTATGAACAATCATATATTCCAAATTTTTTTAATTTTCAGATGCATGTCTTCGGTGTCAAGCAGAGAGCAAAAAAGATGATAGCCGACAGGACTGTGTCGTCGTCTGGGGAGAATGCAATCATTCATTTCATTATTGTTGCATGTCACTTTGGGTGCAACAGAATAATCGTTGTCCATTATGCCAGCAAGAATGGTCCATTCAACGAATGGGAAAATAACTAAATCAATCAAGCAAAACTTCAATACTTATTTTTTTTTTCGTTTTCATTTATTTTTTGCTTATTTTTCCTTCTTTCATTTCTTTTTCCTTTCTCTCTCTCTCTCTCTCTCTCTCTCTCT